TATTTTTGAGTAACGGTGAGCGTGTGAGTTTGAGCATCCTTGATTCGGCAAAACCTCTCCTCTGCCGCGTGTCGATTCCTCTGGGTATACCCGGGACCCCTGCTCACCTCTCCTCCTCCGTGTTCTCCACAGAGCCCAGAGGGAATGTTATGCTACTTCGTGCGAAGTCCGCGAATTATTATCACATTCGCCTGTGCTTCTGCCAGAGGACAATTTCCTTCATCCGAGGACACTTCGCTTGTTTCTAACGAAAACTGCAAAAACGCCTGAAACCCATCGCTGTCGTGAAACGCACCCCGCACGTTACAGATACCATAGTCCAGATCTGATACGTTTTTTGGCAACGGCTACCAAAAACTTTTGTTTGAAGACTTAAATTGTTTTTAATAAAATGGAAGCGCTGATGGTGCTGCCTATCGGCGTGATGAGCACGCGTGTTCGAACATGAGTGTGTGGGCGTGAGTGCGCGCATAACTTTTTGTGTCCATTCGTGAGTGTTTTGTGTGTCGTGTGCACATATCGTACAAATTCTCTCGCATAATGGAGGCTCATTCAATGCACTGCCTCAGCTGGCTTTTTCATTCCTGCTGGGGGCAGTGAGCGGGGCGCCGCGGTGGCGAGATGTTAACTACCTCGCCTGGTACACAGGAAGTTGTGGGTTCCGATCCCGACCCTGTATATTTGGAGTTTGCACGTTCTCCCCGTGGTCCTCCATTTTTTCCCTCCACATTTAGAAACATGCGCTTAGAATATTTGACTGCTATGATAAACTACTTATTTGACCTACCATTTGTGGCCCGGTTGCTTCTGAAAAAGAGTTCAGTGGGCCTTACCTGGTAAAATAAAAAGTTTAGTTTTAGAGTGACATGGCCGGAGTGAGTGCATTTGCTGGTTGTTGCCGAGGTTCGTGGTTCGGCCCCAGCATCCGCCCTAATGAATACGACGCCTACAGCAACCAAAAAAATGCTACACGCCATCTGCTGAACGGTGGACTGTAAAGACCCCATAGTGTTGTTATCTGAAAAAAAGAGGAGGCCTTGTGTGCTCGCGTCACGGCCCAGATTTGCCAAATTTGAAAAAATCACTGGCAAATTACTCAATTGGATAGAGCCGCGTAGCAACATCACCCCTTGTGTGAAACGACTGCAGAATAGACAGCGACAGTAATCTTCCGTGACAGCCTTGCACGATAAGAACGGCTCGAATAACAAATGCACCCGCGATTGGATTGATTGGAGGATTGTTGGGACCTTTTTCCCAGTATCAAAGTAGTAAAAAATTAAAATAGGTGTTTCCCTTTCTGGCCATAAAACAGGTCTTTAGATGTTCGAACACCAAATAGAAACCTTTTGCAAGGAATCAAGTTTACTGCATTAACCACACAGAGTACTTGTGGTGAAGATGGTGTTTGAACATCCTAATACCTATTTTTTGGGTGATGAGGTTCGCTTGTGTTGCGATCGAAACATCGTAGTTTTTTGTTTATTTTATAATTTTTTGAACCTATCTACGTGACTTTACCGAAAGACCCAAAGAATATGAATTCCTGCAGTCACAAAAGCTTTAAGTCAAGATCTTAACACCGGTTTCATTGCCAGAAAGGGGAAAACTTATTTAAATTTCCCATACTGTAGGATTGTTGCTGGGCTGGCTCATAATGCTGAGATGACAGAGGCGATCATTCATCTGAGAGGTTCAATCCAGTGTCTTCTGCAAATTTAGTTTTAAACCACCCTTCATTCTGGTTGAGAACAAGTTTATATGAACACAACCGAATACTTCTGAGATACTGCTGACGATGGGTGACTGCAATCTGGACATATCGGGCAACTGGTCAAGTTTATCTAGTTAAGAATATGAAAGCAAATATTTATTTATTTTAAAATCTACATTTATAAACGCATGACTTTATCTGTGATGAACGCTGCACTCCCCGTCGTTTTCATGCAGGCGGCGCGTAGGTTTGAACGACGGAGGCGCACGGGCAGACGTTCGATTACGTTGGAATCGATCTGCGGAACGAGGCGATTCAGTGCTGATTCGCAGAATCGACCAGGCCCCCACCGACGCGACTTTGCCTTTTGTTTTGCGACGACGACAACAATATTTCCCATTCTCCCCGCATACGCTATCACAATCAACAAGTCTCAGGGACAGAAGTTCAATTACGTTGATAAGCGCACAACTTTAACATTCTATGATGAACAATATAATAATATAAAACTTCTAAATGGAGCATCGGGAGCTTGCGTGAATGCGTCGTTCGTGTGCAAATGTTGTGACTTTTCCTGGCCGAAGGCCGGAAATGCTTTTGTGGGGGGGGCGCAGCAGGTGCCCCTGAACAACTAGTAATTAATAATTTCTCACAGAAACGCTGGAGCTCTCCGTGGGCTCCTGTTGGTCACGCTGTCGGCTCCAGTCAGAGGCAGAAACCATCATTGAAACCCATTTATAATGAGTGCAAGCAATCATGTACAGGGAAGGGAGTTTCGCTAAGCTATAGCAATCAGGTATTCAAATAACATAACCGTAAATTTAACCCAAGCACTCACACACACAGTCTACGCCGAATGGTTCGCAAAAGCATTCAATATAATTAACCTGTAAACAAACGGTATCTGCCGCTCGCTACGCCACGTCAGGCCGGTTGGTTATCGTTCGTGAGCGTGTACCGAGAGGCGGTCGGCAAGAGCGAGTCGATGTGTGGACACCCGCCCACCCGCACCGCGCGTGACCGCGTGGCACAGCAGTCAGGCGGCTTCGCGTGCCAGCGGTCTGTTCGGCCGACGGTCCTCACGTGGACCGACTGTCTGGAGAGTCAACGGTGGCGCTCTCCTATGGGAGGCCGGGGCCCTGCTGAAGAAAATCTGGAATTTTCACCGCTGGTTCAGGGCCAACATATGTATATGCATAGCCCTGACCACAAACGCCATCTGTCTCCATTCTTGCATATATTGAAACGCCACGCCCACCAACGTGCCCGCAGTTGGCTACGTACGGTGTGAAATAAGTTCAACATACAATCGTACGTACACATGACAGAAGTGAGCGCTGGACCCAGAGTGCGTGTGAGCAGCGGAGAGACGTTTTGATTTCAAGATTTATATCCCAAGGTGTGGGTGCTTCCAGCTCTTCCGAGATGTCTGGCCAGCGTGGAAGAGTCGGTTAATCTAAACTATTTAAAAAAAACTAAACTATTTTTATTTTACCAGGTAAGACCCACTGAGCTCTATAGCTCCTTTTTTCAGAAGCGACCTGGCCATCACAAATGATAGCTCAATGAAGTGGCTTGTCAAGTGGAAATTTGGAGCAGCCACATACTATAAAACACTTGATGTTGATTCGGGGAAAAAAACGGAAGACCCTACGTAACAACAGGGAGAGAGACACGCAAACTCCACATATACAGGCGTCAGGGTCGGGATCGAACCCACGACCTCCTGTATCCATGTGTAGAATAATAGCGCCGGCTGGTGGACAGCAGCGGCATCTGTGGTGGACGGAGAGTACACACGCCGGTGAGGGCATGCATGGGGTGTTGGCAGAGTAGAGGAACTGGGGTAAAGGTCACAGAGGACCCCATCTGGAGGCCCCTGGAACCTGCTACCGGGTTCGAGAAGGGAGGCGTGGCCAGGGCGGAGCCAGGCTGCACTGGGAGCATAAAAGGAGCCGAGAGCGGCAGTCGGGGCTGCCGGTTCTGGGAGTGGACTCGTCTCGTCATCGCTGTCATCTTGCCGCCTTTGTCGCTGCCGTCTTCGCTAGATATTGCGCGGCCAGAAAGTTGTTGGCTGTCTCAGTCAGCTCCATCAGTGTTACACAGTTAGGGTTGTGTTTAGCCTCGGTTAGACGACGATGGAGAGTGCAACCTGTGAAGTGTGAACTTGTTCAATAAAGGTTCCTCCTGGAAACCCTTGTCTCCTAATCACTAACACTATACATGTGTAATGACATGGTGACACCTCTCGGCCTGGAGTGGTAATTGCGGTTACAGGTGCATTATGTAATGCCTTATTATAAAGAGGCATATCTGGGGTAAAGGTCAAAGGCGGAGTCAGTCGAGAAGCTCCGGGAACCGTCTCGAGGGTTCTGGAAGGGGGCGTGGCCAGAGGTGGAGCTTGGCCGTGCCGGGGCAGAGATAAGGAGGACCAAACGAGAGGTTCGGGGCTGTTTGGAGTCCTGGCTGTGTCGCTGCCCGTCATCATCTATTCGTTCTCCGACCACGTGGCTGATCTGCGCAAAGACCCTCTCCACCGCTGTCACTACACTAGTCAGACAACTGCGTAGTGGTATGCTAGTGATGGGGCTGTGAGTGTTAGGATCGCCTATGTGTAGCCGCGTTACATAACGTATCGCCCAGTGTGCTCTTAATAAATAAGAAGCCCTCTACCCGACGTGTCTCGGAAGTCGCTCACTGCACATGTATGTTGAACTTCTTTCGCACCATACATAGCCACCCGTGCTAATTGGAGGTGCGTACCAGGGGAGGGAGATAATATCTCACCACTGCAGCGCCGCTCAAAATAACCTCTGGAGGGGCTCCCTAGAGCTCAGCCCCTCTCATGGAGGCCCTTCCACCAGTAGTGGCGCAATCCCGACGGAGACACGTCGCCAAATCTATCTCTCCTACGCCTTTATGAAAAAGCACAGCCTACTAACATAATCAGAGGGCCCCTGTTCTGCAAAGCCTCCGCTTTCTGATGGCTGACTTCGGTCGAGTTTACACCGAGAGAGATCTATTTGAGCCAACGGAGCTCTTTTACTGAAAGGAAACGCTCACAATTTTGAGACGTCTACTTCGTGCCTTGGCTCGACTCTGCTGCAGAGAAAAATACCGTTGCAGCCAATCAGAATCCATTTAGTGACTCACAGGGTGTGTAGCGGGCACGTTGATGTGCGAGACAGGAGACTGATGGGGTCGTGGCGAGGGCTCTTTATATTGGCTATGGAGTCTCTGTTTGGAGCGGCGGTATTTTTCACCGCAGCGACACGCATTGCGTTACCTCTTTATGTGCAGGAGTGGGATTGGCCCCAGCATTTGGAAGCAGAGGGAGCAGATTGTGACTCCAGCCGTCATCATCACCTTCCGCACGGCCTGAACACAAGCGCACGCACAAAGACAAAGATCCCCCGTATCGCCTTAACAGACTGTTGGGGCAAGTGCTGTTCGCACCTATGAAGGCCGGTACGGCACACGAGGGGGTGGGTTGCCAACACCACGCCCGGCCACCTTTGTCTCCTTAATGGCGATGTCTACACACCATACCAGGTACTCGTTTGAGGCTGAGTCGACCTAGAGGAGGCCTGAGACCGGTTCAGATAATCGCTGTTGGTGAATCGAACTCGGGTCGTCTGGTCCGTAGCACGGCACACTCACCGCTACACTCTCGCACATACACACAAGTGCCCCTTCTTTCAGCCAAGCCGGTCGGTCGTACAGGCGAGTGCTGTTGGTGATCCAGCAAGGCGCACAGGTGTGGCACGTGGTGTGGTCGTGCATTCCTAGCCACCTTTGTCTCTCCTACGCTGATGTTGGTTAAACTCTGGCACCGCCTCCCCACTTCCACTACCTTCTATGGTCAGGGGGTGTGGGGTTGTGAAACGATGCTTAAACAAGTTCATGTTAAATTAAATTAAATGTAGGCAAGGCCTTTGAATGGGACAAGCATGACGTTTTCGATTACGGCGAGTTAAAATCTGCTTTGTCATGTCTGGAAGTGTGCATTTGGTGCTACCGTGGCTGAAAAGTTGAAATCAGCGAGCGATGTCGCCTCTCCATCCGCCGATGTCACGACTGGTCCTGGACTCGGCCCGGGTGACAATCTGATTGGTGGTTAACAGGCAGCGCCCAGCAATCAAGTGCTGGGCTGCCTTGGGACCAAGCCAAGCCCGAGAGGAATGCTCTGGGAACACTCGACTGTGGATCCAGGTACCACGGTGGCGAGATGTTAACTCCCTCGCCTGGTATGCAGGAAGACGCGGGTTCGATCCCGACCCTGACGCCTGCTGCTGTATAGTTGGAGTTTGCATGGCTCTTTCCACGTGGTCGCATAGATTTTTCTCAGGATCCTCCGGTTTTTCCCTCCACATTTAAAAACCGTGTTCGGAGTGTTTGGCTGCGATAAATGTCCACACGATGAGCCACTTCAGTGAGCGATCATTTGTGTCCAGGTCGTTTCTGAAAAAGAGCTGTGTCGCTCCGTGGGCCTTAACTGGTAAAAATTAAATATATATAGTTTCAGTTGAGGGAGTAGAATGTCTCCCAAAACAAAAGGAGTGACTACATTCTCCACATTAATAATCAACATATGTTTAGAATATTTGTATGCTCTAAATGTCCACTTGACAAACCACTTCTATCATTTGTGATGACCATGCCGCTTCTAGAAAGAGAGCTATGAAGCTCAGTGGGCCATACCTGGTCAAATAAGATCAAGTGAATACTTCTTATAGTTTAGGTAAAGCGCCAAGTGGTCGTGGACAGGAAATGAGGAGAGACCAGGGACAGAGTCGTCTCTCTCTCCCTGGAACGGGAAAGGAAGGTGCGGAGACAGGGAGGGAGGAGAGACTGGGACATGGAGGTGTGAGAGGATAGTTTTTTTTAAAACGATAGTGTAAGAGGAAAACGTGAGAGGAGAGTGCAAGGGGGAAGGAAGTGTGAAGGGCGGCGGGGGAGGGGGTGTGGGAGAGTTCGTACCGGGAAGGAGTCACTGAGGTAGCCGAGCAGTGGAGCGAAAATGGCGTAGGAGCAGGCGAATCCTAGGAGCACCAGGCCGATCTTGCCTGGCGGCATTTTGAACTGCGGGGCCGGCACACATCCCGTCCCATTGCTCGGCTTGTGTCGCAGTGTTGCGTGTGCGCGCGGATATGGCCACAATTCATCCATTCGTGCAGTTCACATACAAGTTACGCGTTCGTGGAAGGGAATGCAATTTAGATGCAAATCACCGATTGTATTGAGATGTGTGCAATTAGAGGGGGTGTGAAGGCGCAGCCCTGCAATTTCCTGCTCACGCCATTGTTGGCGAAAGGGCCTCTACCATAGTGAGCTCTAGAGAACCCTTCTAGAGGATATTTGGATAAGGTGGGGATACCCACAATTTACCCCACCACACACGACCTGCCGATCGACTCACGGCGCTGCACCTATTTATACCGCCGGGCGGGCAGAGGGCGGGCGGGAATTAGGATTTTTGCCCCGTTGTTTCAACTGTCAACCGGGAGGTCGAATCAATCCGTTGACCTCTGGATTGCAGGTCCTGTGCGATAACCATTACACCACTGTGTGACGGCATCCCCGATGATTGACTCAGTCTTCAATGAGTATCTGGTGCAGGGTGTAAACCTGGGCCCTGGGGAGACAGAGGCAGCGGACTCATTGACAGCACTTGCCCTCGTCAGTCTGTCAAGGCTATACGGGAGATCTTTGTCTTTGTGTTGAGGATGGGAAGCGGTGACTTTTTCTCATTCGATAAATAAGCAGTGGAGGTGCACACACGCACGCAGTTTGTCATCATTAATTGCCAGGATGTGCTCACAACACTCCGTCACGTCCTCTATTAATATGATGCATTACCTCTCTGGCGTGAATCAACACGACAAATTCATCACTATCAGAGGGCATCTAATATCGAAATGTCGTTGTTTCCACCCCCCCCACCCTCCTCCAAACTTGCGGATCCCCATTGCGATGGCTGAGCGAGGCTTGGAGCTGCGCACGAGCGCCGTAAGCCTTCAGCGGGTCATGTCTGGCTGTAACCTCGTTCACGTGCGCGTGGCTGTCGTCAGCCTGCGCGTGCATCGTCAGATGTGAATTAAAATTTGCCACGCGCAACTTGATGGGTTACATTTTATAGAACCTTTTGACGCTGGTCAGAGCCCGGCCATTATCGGAGACAATTGCCGACTCGTCTTCCTCGCCCATCCTATTATGACACCTTGATACTTATGAATGCACACACACTTTTAACCTAAACGCGAAAATCACCCGTGTAGCCCTAACTGACTGTAGGGGCAAGTGCAGTGAGCGAGCAACGCTTATGAAAGCTGCCACGGCACACGAGGGGGTAGGTAACCAGCACCACGCCCGGCTACCTTTGTCTCCCCAATGGTGATGTTTACACACTGCACCAGGTACTCATTAAAAGCTGAGTCCACCTAGGTGGGACCAGGACCGGTTCAGATAATCGTCACCGATGTTGGCCGTGACCGGCAATTTAACTCCAATCACTGCGTTAGTAGTCACACACCTCGTTAACCACTACACTACCACCATCTCGTTAACCACTACACTACCACCATCTCGTTAACCACTACACTACCACCATCTCGTTAACCACTACCCTACCACCACCTCGTTAACCACTACACTACCACCGTCTCGTTAACCACTACACTACCACCACCTCGTTAACCACTACACTACCACCACCTCGTTAACCACTACACTACCACCATCTCGTTAACCACTACACTACCACCATCTCGTTAACCACTACACTACCACAATCTCGTTAACCACTACACTACCACCGTCTCGTTAACCACTACACTACCACCGTCTCGTTAACCACTACACTACCACCGTCTCGTTAACCACTACACTACCACCACCTCGTTAACCACTACACTACCACCACCTCGTTAACCACTACACTACCACCACCTCGTTAACCATTACACTACCACCACCTCGTTAACCACTACACTACCACCACCTCGTTAGCCACTACACTACCACCACCTCGTTAGCCACTACACTACCACCACCTCGTTAACCACTACACTACCACCACCTCGTTAACCACTACACTACCACCACCTCGTTAACCACTACACTACCACCACCTCGTTAACCACTACACTACCACCACCTCGTTAACCACTACACTACCACCACCTCGTTAACCACTACACTACCACCACCTCGTTAACCACTACACTACCACCGTCTCGTTAACCACTACACTACCACCGGCTCGTTAACCACTACACTACCACCACCTCGTTAACCACTACACTACCACCACCTCGTTAACCACTACACTACCACCACCTCGTTAACCACTACACTACCACCACCTCGTTAACCACTACACTACCACCGTCTCGTTAACCACTACACTACCACCGTCTCGTTAACCACTACACTACCACCGGCTCGTTAACCACTACACTACCACCACCTCGTTAACCACTACACTACCACCACCTCGTTAACCACTACACTACCACCACCTCGTTAACCACTACACTACCACCACCTCGTTAACCACTACACTACCACCACCTCGTTAACCATTACACTACCACCACCTCGTTAACCACTACACTACCACCACCTCGTTAACCACTACACTACCACCACCTCGTTAACCACTACACTACCACCACCTCGTTAACCACTACACTACCACCATCTCGTTAACCACTACACTACCACCATCTCGTTAACCACTACACTACCACCATCACGTTAACCACTACACTACCACCATCTCGTTAACCACTACACTACCACCATCTCGTTAACCACTACACTACCACCATCTCGTTAACCACTACACTACCACCACCTCGTTAACCACTACACTACCACCATCTCGTTAACCACTCCTTAAATACACGCACACGGTCAAATAAGTACATTCACGCACGCAGGCGGTGTTCATTATATCTACCCCAATTGATGATTATGATAAGTCTGAAATTTACGGTGATGATGACAATGAGGTAGGTCTGAAATCGTTGTTGGTGGTGGTGATGGCTATAAAGATGACACTGAGTCAACCCTGTCCAGGATTATCACTCACACCCCGTCCCACTGGGAGCCCCAGAGCTTTGCGAGCTAAATCGCGCTCTGCACCCGCAGACAACAAACGTCAGCTCTCCGCGAAGACGTCGAAATTCTGGGTAACGCGGGGGGGGGGGGGGGGGGGGGACGCCCGCGGAAGCAGGCGGTCCACACCGCACTACATGGCACAGGCGCCACGCCAAGCGAATCCCATGGCATTCTAACGTCTCCGTCGTCCACTGTCGGCACGTTGGACGCGCAATCCAGAGGTCGCCAATTCGATCTCTGGGGCGTGGCAGTTCAAATGGCCCCCTCTGCCCGCCACGGTCCACCCAGCCAGCCTGAATGGGTTCATCGCAATTCGCCGACTGGAGGTCACGCGTGGGGGGTCACAGCGTGGGCACTTCTGCCTCTTCCAAGACATCTGGAGGTGGAGGCCAAAGTAGGAACCCAGCAGAGTGGCTATGCGGAGCTCCCTCGAGCCGAGCAAGTGATCGCTAGGGGCTGCGCATTCACCCTTGTCACCTCTGATCATCGCGGCAGTCGGGGCCCTGTCCGTTTGTTACACCGTTTACGTTGCGCAGACCGACCGGTGCTCGGGCCAGGTATGCAGGAGGGCGTGGGTTCAATCCCAACCCTGACGCCTGCTATATAGTTGGAGTTTGGATGTTCTCTTTCTCTCCCTGTGGTCGCGTGGATTTTTTTCCGGGTCCTCCGGTTTTTCCCTCTACATTTAGAATCAACATCACGCGTTCAGAGTATTTCTTTGGTGTAAATTTCAATGTGATAAGCCACTTTTTTAGCTATTTGTGGACAGATCGCTTCTGAAAAAGAGCCGTATAGCTCAGTTTAGCTTTAGTTCATATCGACCTCTATCAGAACAGCAGCTAGGAAGCCGGCACCACGAGCCGAGACGTCAATACCGCATCTCCCAGCCGCGGGATTTCTCCTGGGTGCGGCGGTGCTCGCGTGGGTCATGCTCTGCTTCCCCGTGACGTGACGGCATGCCCTGGGACGAGGCTCACTTGGGACACGCGGGGGACTCTTTTCTGCCTCCTCAGCCGCTTCCCGATGAGATTCCGCTCGCCATAATGGCAGCGTCGCAACGGCAGCGTCGAGAGCCGGGGGCAGCATGGGAGGGTTTCCGCAGGTCGCGAGGATTCTACTACGCACTGACACGGTGTGGAAGAGTGAGGAGCAGCGGTGCAGCGGTTAGCGCGCTGCGCTACGATCCTGGCGATCCGAGTGCTCACGGCTACCCTAACACCGGTGACGATTATCTGAATCGGTCCTGGGCCTCCCGAATGTCCATTGGGTCTCAAATGAGTACCTGGTGTGGTGTATAAACAACGCCACTAGGGAGACACAGGAGGCCTGGCGTGGTGCTGGCCACCCACCCCTTCGTGTGTCGTGTCGGCTTTCATAGGTGCTACTCGCTAACAGCCCTGGCCCCCAACAGTGTGTTCAAGGCTATATGGGGGGTCCTTGTCTTTGTTTGCTGGGACGGTGTTACACGTTACAGAGTTTAGTATCTATGGATACGTTTAAAACAAATTAAACTAAGAGCCCATGTCTAGATGAAGCCCTCCCCACATCGTGTCAGTCATGGGTGTTGTTTAACCATACTTCTCCATGCTGGCCTCTAAAGGGTTGATGGAGAGGGACTTGCCCAGGACCGGTCGGTTCAGACACCACTGTCATTAGCCATGGCCAGGAGTTCAACTCAGGCGACCAGGTTCATAGTGTAACGCGCTAGCCACTGCGCCACTGACTCACTGCCGATTTCGAAATTGCGACGAAGCAACGGCACGCAGGTGACAATTTTGTTGGGGGATTGCAAATGTCTAACAAAGCCTTAATTCCCCGAAAATTAAGTTATTTTTAAAACAAAACATGGGAAGGGTCGTAAATGCGCCACTCCACACACGGCATGGAGCACAACGCGTGTTGTGCTCCATGCAACGCTGAACACCAACATCCCAGCACCCAGCGCCGACACCACGTGG